TGGGAATTATTTATAGAAATTCGACCTCGATTTTCCAGAATTCTGGAAATTCGACTTCGAATTTCCAAGTTTCTTGTAAATTCGATTTTCTAGAATCTAGAAAATCCTCAGGAAATTTATATATGGACTTTTTGAAAATCGCCGAGCATTTTCTATAAATAATTTCCGACATTACAGTGTAGAGCGCTACCGTAGAACGTAGAAAAACGAAGGTAGTATGAAAGTTACATGTCAACCGTTGAGAACTGAGTTATCTCGCGCTTTTCCAGCTCCGTATGTCGTGTATAAAAACATTCGTAACCACCACTTCAAAAGCTGTTGTATCAGTTTCGGCCTTAAACATAAGCATAGAGTAAAAGAAGACCAACTTCTCTTTAAAAAACTACTTGTGAGGAATCGAAGCTGAACTCATCGGACACTGTTTTCTCTCAAAACATTCGATGCAATTCGACACGGTGATTACGGATAATAAGTTAAGGGTACCCCCTCCCTCTTTTCTGCAAAAACTTTTCATTTTGAGTTAAACACAGTCCAATGTAGAAAAAGTCTGGGCTATAAAATGAGACTACTTCCAGCTCTCCATGACCTTCCTCGAAAAAGTTATGAAGTTTTTAATGTTTTCTTTCAAAGCCTAAAAAATCTCAATTTTTTAGTTTCATAAATTTTTCTCTCGTTTCTTATATTTTCAGACTTTTTTCTGATTCATGGACTGATAGAAGAAAGGCTGCTCTTCAAAATGAGATGCCTTGCAGAATTTTCCGATGAGTTTTCGTGAAGACATAAGCATCACCGCAAAGGACCTGAAAAACAGAGCCCTATGTACGATATGTGTTTTTCTCACTATGCGTTTTTTTGATAGACCCTTCAATCCAGTCACATTACGACCCCTCGAAATAATGGTCTGATCGAGCTTAAATTTTTACCACAGATACTTCAGACCCTATCCCAGGAATAAAAAAATTTTTTAACGTTTTCGATTTCAACTTTAAGTGTGAGAAGGTTTTTAAAATGAAAAACCAGTTTTCTATACAGGACTTTTAGTATTTTTCTAATATCTCGAGAAGGAAAGCACATTTTTTGAAAAAAATTTTACTCCTTTAGTTAAGGTCTAAAGGTCTAATCTATGGTAAAAAATTGAGCTCGATCGGACCATTATTTCGAGGGGTCGTAATGTGACTGGATGAAAACTGGAGTTTGCCAGAAAACCCATATAAGAACATCTCAGAAAATTCTGGGCAAAAATATATCGATTTTCTTTTTCTATGTTCTATCTCTGCTATAAATTGGACCTCAATCGGACGTGTGCTCCACGTTTGGCAATAAGGTGAAAAAAGAGGGAGGGAGTACCTTTAATAATAAAGCGAACAGTCATAATTATCGTACCCGTATGTTTACATATTTAATAATCATTAGAGTTACGAAAATCGATTCTCATATTAACTGTGGTTGTTGACTTGTACGTTGGCTGACTAACTGCATTCATTATAGACGAATAAATACATTGAGCTTCATACAGTAAATTAGCAATGTTTGGATAAGTGGGAACATCAAGTAATAAAAGAAAAAGCTGTGTTGGTATTCTTCATGGAAATTCAGTTTTATCCACTGTTGATTTTCTATTAATCATGGGTAAATTTTTTCGTCTAATACATAAGAAAACGTTTCACGGTTTTATAAATGTACAGGTCAAGTCCTTTTGTTCAACTGAGACCCGCTTTTCGCTGTGGTGTCTTCTAGAAAACGAAAACTATAGGTGGTAAAAGGTTTCTAGAAGAACTTTTTCATAATGTATCTTGATCTATTTGCGCTGAAAACCTCACGACAATACAATAAGCTGTTCTGTAGATACTCCTGAAAGGATACCCTTAAGCCGTTCTTGAGATACGCTTAAAATATCTCGCTTCAAAGAAATTTTTTTTAAAACAGGCATTTGAAAATGAAAAAGACCTGATGAACCGTAGATGAGTGTCAAAGTTTTCAAATGAAACAGAATGGTTTTTCTAGGGTTCTTTCAGAAATTATGCACAAAAATTGTCTTCTATAAGGTAAATTTCTACTATTTTATAACAGTTTTTAATGTCGAGTCTAGATCAACGATACTCGCTAAACTCGTACATGATCGGAACTCACGTTTTCGAGTGCTTCAAAATGGTTTTAAAGATTTTAAAAGGTTTTGGTAGGTTTAGGTTACGGTAACCAAAGTTTACATTCTAATCTATTATACGCTGGAGTATATTGCTTGATTTGATCAATATTGATGCTTATTTGTCAGAAACAACAAAAGCCAGTTGTTCGTATATGTCAGAAAAGTAGAAAAAGGTTCAGAAGACGCTTTTGTTGTACCAAATGTAGGACGATCTAAGCGGCATAAAGAAGAACTGTTAATGTTGTCCTCAGAACCAACAGCACCGGACGGTTAAACATGTTTCCTAGAAATAATCAATAACCGATAGTGTCCGAAATAATAAAAGTGATGAAGATAATGTTTCAGATCAGCGTACGTTTGTTTCCGACTCATTGCATGTGCATATAAGTCGTCGCGTAACTGCTTTCAATCAAAGTCGAATGAAAGAAGACCACTACTGTACGATTGATTAAATTGTTTCAATTTTCGCGTTGATTTGTACCATGGCTAGCCATCTAGAAGAATGATTTTTAGCATAGCGATTACGTACGATATCAGAGAACTTGTTACATATGAACACACAGCGTTATCGCGATAAGCTTAATACATAGCGCGATACGGGCACGCTTTGCGATGAAACGGTGGATATGTTACATCGCGATAGATCGGCACGCCACGATATATCGTACGTTTTTCATCAAAAAAATCCTCATGGGTTATTTTTCCATGAAAAATGTGTATTGAAGTTAGTAGACATTTGGCGTGGTAGAATATGATGTATTTAGAAGATATCGAAAATGAGTGAATATCCGGCTTAATTGATAGAAAAAACATGGAACAGAAATAAAACAAGGTACAGACGACGAAATATAATATGTATTGAAGCTCACTTGCTTTCTATAGACACATAGTAGCAATACGTTCACTATTTGTTTTTGAGATGACTAAGAAAAAGAACAGACCGCTGGCGTTCGGGTAGTTTTGTTTTCTACTTTAAACGACTTTTTTACTATACTATGCTTGCTTTATTTAGAAAATTCGGACTAGACTAGTCATTTCTTCATACAGTCTTACTATTTTTTCCCGATATAATTGTTGCCAAAAAACGAATTTATACCTATATATAAAGTTAGGTATGTTTTTTGATAAGGAATGAAAATGCGTGTGCACACATTTGATATCTTATCTAGTTTTAAGTGGTACATTGCTTGGATCTCAATATCAGTTTGTGTAAGGAAGTCCAGAATATGCCAGATGCTTTTTTTCTTTTATGAAGTTTTAAAAATTGTTATGGCTTTCATAATAGCTATTGGTTAAATGAGAACAATTTTGTAGAGTGTTCTGTGAAAACTAAGTATAAAAACAAAATTAGACGAAAACTCTTTCCCTCATTTCATGGCAGAAGGATACACTGGTACTGTTACCTTTCTTACATTGTTTCTCTTTTCAAGGGAAGATTCGCGCAAAAAGCGCATTCATACATCTTACATCCTATTCTAGCCAAACGGTTGGCGATCAAACCAAGATTACGATAAAAATTTTAGTTCAAAGTGTCGAAGCGTTCACCAGTTAGTTGATATTTATGACGCTTCACAGGTAAGAATGAAAATTGTGAGAAAAAGAGAAATATGTTTGTTCTCTTCTTTCATTTTTTTTCCGAAAACATTTCCAACGATTCCTTTTTGAATGAATAAGTTAAACTCGATGTTTGGACAAATGATTTATTCAACAACTCTGATGAACTTCAACATAATTAATAATATAAACAAATCATAAACGATGATTATGACTTAATTGAGAAAGTTATACAAAACGGATCATGCAGTACAGGGTCATGCTGACCTCTCGGTACTTTCACCAGTGTTTTGGTGGACCAAATACTTGCCTCGTATTTTTCACACAATTCGTGTGTATAGTGTAAATTTTAATTATTAGCGTCGTGTGACCTTAGTGAAACGTGTTTAAAACTTTTTGATTACATCGGTGTTAATAAAAAAAACGCAACAGATACCTTATCTTTGAAGTATTTAGTATGTGAATTATCACGTTCTCTCATAACTAACAATTCAAACAGGATATCGAACAGTCTTAATATGAAAGTATAAACAGTGACTTTTCTTCTATATGTCGTCATTCTCACTGTTTCCTAATCTTTTTGTTATCATTTGAAGTCAATTTGACGTAAAAACGCAAACATATAAAGTACTTATTTTAAATAACTCTTTCCTTCTTTACTTTACGCCATACGCATCTGTGTCAAAAAATTTAAAATTATTTTCAGTATTAACCATGTCCACAATACCTTATGAAAATGGAGAATACACGGAAATAAATGGTGCTGCTGACAAAATCTTGCTGACAAAATCTAAACTTGCACAAAATTATTTACTGGAGAAATCTCAAGAATGGAATGTAGAATTGAAGAGCGAGGTATTTGCAAAAAAGATGGATCTAAATGATCCATTACAATATTTAAGAGGAGAATTTTATTATCCGAAAATGGGAGGACTTCCAAAAGGTATTTTTTTTCTTCTTTAAATGTTTTTTTAGATAGCTCTGCATAGAAAATCGTAAGCTGATAGAGTTAGCAACTTGACTCTATACATTTTTCTAGTTGATAAATCCCGTATCAATGTGAACGACGATAGCATCTATTTGTGTGGTCACTCTTTGGGTCTTCAACCTAAACGAACAAAAAAGTATTTGGATTTATGTCTTGATGACTGGGCTAAGCTGTAAGTTAATTTCAGTGTTAAATGTGTTCACTTGAATTGTAATAAAAAATGCAGACATATTTGTTCGTCTTCTTTTTTAGCGGTGTTTACGGTCATTATTACGGTTTTATGCCATGGGCCAAATGTGATTATCCATGTTTACCTACCATGTGTAAACTTGTTGGTGAGAATATATATACCATTATACATATGCAAAGGATATATTCATTCGCTTTTTTTTTGACGTTAGGCGGTCAGATGGGAGAAGTAGGAGTTATGAATCAGCTTACGACTAATTTACATTTTGTTATGGTAAGAAAACAAAATAGTGGCTAGTTGTTTTCTTATAAATTTGTTTGTTTTGTTAGATTTCATTTTATAGACCAACTAGCGAGCGTTATAAAATTTTATATGAATGTCAAGCATTTCCAAGCGATTCGGTACTGTTATTTAACTAAATTTTATTTACAATGAAATGCTAACTAAATGTTCATCTCTTATATTAGTATGCAATTAATTCACAAATTGAATTTCATGGCTTCAATCCAAAAGATGCAAAATTAATATTATCACCGAGAAAAGTAAATTGAATGAATCGTATATCTAGAGGGATATTTAATTATTTACTTTGTATCTTTGAAAAGGATGAAACATATATTCGAACAAATGATATTATTGATATATTAAAAAAGGAAGGAAAATCGATCGCATTAGTACTGTTCAGTGGTGTGCAATATTATAATGGACAAGTGTTTGACATGGAAACAATTACTCGAGTTGCACATGAACAGGTAACATGTTAATAGCATATACATATAATCAAAATATTAATGATACATTTTTGTTTTAAATACTGATAATCTAAACCAGTTATATGATTGTTTCTTTTCTAAATAGGGTTGTGTTGTGGGATTCGATATAGCACATGCTGCTGGTAATATACCAATGAAATTGCATGATTGGAATGTTGATTTTGCTGTGTGGTGTACATATAAGGTAGGATTTTTCATCTATAATTGCTTCGTCAATACATATTATTATAATTTTATTTTTAGTATTTAAATTCAGGTGCCGGTTGTATCGGAGGATTTTTCATCCATTCAAATCATTTCCATTCTAAACTTCCAAAATTAGACGGATGGTGGAGTAATCGAGATTCGACTCGATTTCAAATGTTAACTGGTGATAGATATTTAATCTTGTAAATTACAATAATTTACGAAAAGTATTTATTTAGATATTGATCGTGAGGAGAATGCAAATGGTTATCGAATTAGTAATCCATCAATACATCAGTGTGCAGCATTAGCAGCTAGTCTTTCGGTATATTTTAACTGACATATCAATTTTATTTCTATTGTGTTTTTCGTTTCTTAAAAGATATTTGAGGAAGTTGGTATTGATAAATTACATGAAAAATCAAGGTTGTTAACACAATATTTACAATATTTAATTGAAAACGAATTAAATAACAACCGTATGTTAATTATAATACTTTGTATGTTCTTTTATTTATTTATCATCCTTTTCGTTTTATCACCATTAAGAAAAATGTTTATCGTTTCAAATATTAACGCCAAATGATCCTGATCAACGTGGTGCACAATTATCACTAAAACCAGTTGAAATAACAGCACAGATTCTTTTTGATGAACTGGAAAAACGTGGTGTTGTTGTACGTATTTGTTAAAATTCAATGTTTTAATTTAAACTATTAATCGCTATCTTGTTTCATTCTATAGGTTGACATTCGACATGATATTATACGAGTGGCACCTATTCCATCATACAATAGTTTTTTTGATATTTATCAATTTATATCAGTTCTAAAAACAATTGATATTTCTATACTCTAATTCTTTTTTTATACTTTTAAAAAAAATTTTTTACTTTTTAATAGTTTACATGTAATAATATCTCACAATGAAGTTCTCATCAATGATGAATATATGTTAAATAGTTTTGTTCCATTACAAAGATAACTCATATTACAAATTTAAAAATGAGACCTATTTATTTCACTTTATCAATTACTCAAATATTGGTCATTAAAATCTATGAAGTTTTTCCAGTCTAATTTTTACTCTTTATTCTTGATAAAATATATAAAGTCACATTCTAGCCAAAAGATGATTTTTTTTTATCCCAAACATAATAGAAAAAAAAGAAAAGAAGAGAAATACACAGTATGCAGTCACAGCTAAATACTTAATAATAATAATAATAACAATAGAAAATACCAGAAAATTTAAAGAAAAAAAAGTTTAGACGATTGCCTTTTAGATGTAAAACGAGTACAGGTTATCTGTAATTAAAGCGAAAAAAAAAAGAAAGAAAACTGATTTCTTTAGCTAATCACCGGTGATATGGAAATTAGGTCATGAATATAGAACGTAAGATGAAAGTATCAGTTTTATTCTTCTTGATTTTCTTCTTTAATAATCACTAATGTATTATCATTATTATTGACTGTTGTTGGTGATTGTTCTGTTTCATTAAAACATTCTACTTTTACAGTTATTTCTCCATTATCACTCGATTCATCTTCATCAAATATTGTTTTACCTGATTCCAATAATGACGATGAAATATTTGGAGGAGTTTTGAGTGTTGCAGCTACAACAGCAGCAGCTTGCATTGCTTGAATAAACTGTTGCTTTTGTTGAGAATTATTTAGAATCGCTGCTTCTTGTTGTGAAAATAGAGGAGATAGCCAAGATTGTGATGCTAAATAATAGGACCAAGCTAACAGAAAACGATAATCAACTTGGCCATTTGTGAGACTAGTTGGAGAATTCAACAATGATAATGGAGTAGCAGTGCTGGTAGATGTTGGTGGAGAGGGAGAATTTGTAGTTGGTAGTGATGGTGTCACACTAACAGCAGGTTTTGTATCATCAGTGGAAAGTTTAAATGATGGTTGATCAATTTTTGATGTTCCTCTGTGTGGTAAACGAACACGACGGGTATCAATAATTTTAAATTGATCTATATTAAAAATAAAATTATCAAAACTATTTAGTCAAGAAATGAAATCAGATACAATGATGATAGACAGCGTACTTTTTTCATCTTCTTTTCGTGCGCGGTTAACATAATATTGAGTTACATCAGCTTTATTTTGAATAAAATTTCTTGCCATACCAGTGTGTTTATATTTAATATGATATGTAGCAGCATATCTTGTGTAAATTTCTTCACCACAATAGCCACATCTATAAACAAAACAAACTTTTTGAGCAATTCAGAATGCTTAACATGCTTTGGATAATAATAGAGATTTTGTCTTGTTTGAGTTATGCCTATAATACGTGGATTGGAACTATTAAGCCATTTTGTATCTGATCTTTTTAGTACTTACATGCGGTTTGAAAATTCGCGCTCGGCGCAGAGAAGAGAGAATTTCTTATCAAGTGTTCGCCTATTTTCCACATTATATTAAAAAAAATTATTATAAACCTAAGGAGGCACTAAAACGTTGACTGAACATTTCATCGTTATATGTTTCTTATCTATCCTGAGCTTTCGTTATTTTTCAAATAACACGTAGTGATAAATAGAAGCCTTTGTAGAGCAAGAAATTCTCTATGTCTGACATGGCCCTTTCGTCATGGATTAAAAAGTTTCTTTTTTTATGCTCGTTAGTTAAATTATGTTAAGAAAAGCCCCAACTATCCAACACTCATGTTTTAGAAGATAAGTCGTTTCGTTCTGATAAGATACTGTCTCTCAAAATTATCTTTTTACTTTTTAAATTGATTTCATTCAAACAGTCGCGCTGTTTGTTTGTCCTAGAGTATTAATGTCTGAGCTTGTTTAATATATAAAGACTGTAGTTCAAACTCATGTGTATGTGTGGATTAAATTTCCTTTAAAAATGAAAACATGTACATACACATACAAATGCAAGTATCTCATCTCTTCTTTTCTCCTTTGTATAATTTTAAACGTGCTCAGAATAGAGTTTTATCGTTTATTCCACTCTAAAAAAAAACTGTGTTCTGTCTCCAGACGATATGTGATTTCCGCAAAAAAAAATGGTGTTAGAAAAGTTCAGAAGTAGAGAGAGAACGAGGAACAGAAAGAAATTCATAGTACCACAAACGTTTTTTCAAGTTAATTTATATTGAGATATAGTTGAGTAAGTTAATTTATGTTGAGATATAGTAGAAATGAAGACATGAAACTAAAAACGATGAATATGCATGTCTGAAATAATGAACAATTGACAAAAATGTTTTTGATTCAGTAAAAATTTATCTGATTGTTGATAGTTCATATCACAGAAAATTTTCCATGATGAAAAATAGTAAGACAATAATAGCCCTTGTTTCTTAGCTCAAAGCTAGCTAAACAACATGATTCCTTCTGGACCCGAGGGTCTTAGTGCAATGAACTTTGCCACTAATAATTGTTACGAAGCTCATGTTTAGTGATCAAAAGTTTACCTCTTCCACATCATCACAAAGTAGAAAAATTGTTAACTTTTACATTAGAATTTGATAAGAACAAAACATACTTGTATGGTTTCTCATTTGTATGAACAAAAACATGATCTTCCATTGATGGTCGATGGTTTGTCGTGTATGAACATAGTTTACATGCATATTGTTTGTCCGGTTCATATAAACTGCCAAAATACTGTTTTGGCCTATTGAATACTGTTATGTAATCATTGTCTAAATGAACAAATAAAAACAAGATGTCAGTCTATTAGTAAATTTTCGGTTAAGAATTAAACAATATATTGGTTTCTGTGTGCAACACACTGTTTCAACAAATACGTACTAAATTCACTCAGTCAAACAAACAAAAAAGGTCTACATCATCGAACAGGCTATTAACGGAACTTTTAAACAATAAACAGATCAATACTCTTTCAGAAGCAAAACTTATTCAAAATTCAAAGAGTTAGTATGAAAATTGACACACACACAGATATTAAAAAAATAATTAATCATATCTGTCACACACTTCGCAGCATTATATAAGGTTATTGTTATTTTAACCTTGTATAAACACACACATAAAATGGTGAACTAAAGCTTTCTCATGCAAACTATCTAACTTTTTATATGATACTAATAATTCGTAAATTTTCCCATTCCTAACAAAATGAATAGAAATTCAATTTGTGATATATAAGACAGATTTAAGTGGGAATAATTGGTCGTTGGTCTAGAGTCAATTAAGGGGTAAAAAAGAACGTTTCGATTACTTAAATGTCAAAACAACCCTACCATTATCATCAATTTGTGTGTCGTCATATTTTTTTGTATTTTGATGAATAGTATTATACGATTCAACTTCAATTTTTAGTTTTAACGTCTGCTGTTGTCCGGTTTGATCGACATTTGTCAGTAGATCATCGTTGTCATGTTCATTATTATCAAAGTCTTCATCGATCAATGGTTCAACATTTTCTACTTCATCACTATAACCATCGGATATGGGTGAATCAGTGATATTTTTCAATGATATAGCTACACCATTAATTGGTACTTCATCATAACTATTTGAACGTAATTTTTTCATAGTTGGTTCTCCAACAATCCTTGTAGATGATGAAGAACAACTTTTAATGTTTGATTTATTTTTCTTCAATCCAATAGTCGGCATTGGTGATGGTAATTTTGATGATGATTTATTGTTTTCAGTGCTTAAATCATGATAGAAATCTGTTTCTCTCACACGATTTTCTAAAATTTTTACTTCCATGTTGGGATGACACAGTTCAATATGTACCATTATGGTAGATTTTGTTGTCGATTTATGACCACAATAAGCACATGAATATGGTGTCAAATCAGTATGACGATAAATATGATTTTGCATTAATGACGTTGATGGTGCTTTGTAATCACAATATTTACATTGAAATCTTAATGGACGTTTTGCTGTTGTACGTGTGGGTGGTGTTATGGATATCGGTGCATCTTCAGCGATCGGACGTTTCATGGCTTTTGGAATATGACAGGTGGTAGCAATTGTTTTAGGCGATAGAGAAGCTGTTGAAGATGGGGATGACATCGATGTGGTAGATGATGGTGGTGAGAGTAACAATGATAATTGTTGCGCATACACATTAGCTGATTTTCGCTGTTGCTTTGGTTTCACTTTTTTCACACTCAAATCTAAAACACCACCATTGTCTAATGGATCATTTGTAACCATGTCTAGCTAGAAAATAAGAAAAAATATAAATAAAAGTACTTTGCTCAACACACTATTTTCAATGTCAAATATTTGACGAATTGTTTTCAAAAGAGAAACATAGATTATTATGTTTACAAAAGTAATTGGTGAATAGGGTCAACTTATTGAAAAAAGAAAAAACACACACAACTTGAAATTGTTTTTTTTTGTTCAATAGTAGTTCAAAGAAACTAATTTTCGATTAGTTATAATACTACAACACTTAAATATTTCAATACGATGAGTATAATGTTAATTTTTGAAAAAGTATGTATTATATGACAGAAACAATATACACAAGAAATATGTATAATTTTCATAGATGTGTAATTTAGTGGAGTTATAACAAGAGTACACGCGAAAGAGAGAAAACTATGAAAATTACATTTATAACTACTGTAGCTCATTTTTCTTCTTTTTTCTTGTTGAATATTTTTTAGTTTTGTTTACTTAGTTTAGCAAACAAGACGCCTTTTTTTGTTTCTTAAAAAATTGTTTTGTTTTCTTCTGTGTACTTATGTATATAGAGACATTATCGTGTTCTAGTGCCAAAAAAATTACTATACATTTGACAGACTGAATAGTATTTCAAATCTCATCATCAGACAGAGGTGTACCTCTGTCTTGGTATGACGACAGATATAGTTTACACTACAGATGTCAATGAAGAAGTGTCAAAAATTATTGGTACATTTTTTCCAAAAAAATATATTTTGACTGCGTGGTCCTTGTATAACAGGAAGCGTTCGATACTTTTGCTCTTGTAACTAGATAGAAGAAACGGATCATCAAACTTTCCACTATTCATATTAGATCAACGATCCTTTCAACCTACCACTCTCGTGTACCGAACTGATGTCATTCATGTAGTGTGCTGTTGTAATCAAAGAAGTTAACTGTGGTACTAATTCAATATCAATATGAGTAAACGTTAATTTTCGCTTTTCTGCGGCATCAATGGATTTCGAGAAGAAGTCCAACGTGATTATTTTGTTGAAAAAAATAATCCTACTTCAAAGTGATCAATCTTAACAAAACTAAGAAATTTAATTATGAAAAAAAAAAAAATAGACTGTTTAACAAATTTAATCAATGTCGATATATATATTCCTCTCTTTTTTAAACTGTCGTCTCTTCTCTCTTTGTTATTATATGGTCTCTCAATTTGTTAAACTGATTCCATCTTTTTTTTTTCAAAAATTTCTTATTTGAATAAACGCACTCCATTTCTTTTCTTCTCTTTCTCTCTGTCAATGTTTGTATAACGTGTTTACTAATAAAATGGCACAATACAAGATAAGCAAATATTGAACAATTACTGTAGAGAATAAAGAGAAGTGAAATTTAAAATAAGAAGTGTATTAAACGATCTTTGAATATAAGAGATTAGAGAACGATCACTTACCTTCTCTCCTCTTTGTCTCAACGATCGATTATAATATAAACTTAATTATAAATATAGACCATGAACGTGCTCATTAAAGCATAAAGAATTAAATAAACACGGTCACAAAACATTGCTATCTGTGACGCTTACTCTTCCATCTGTTTTTAAAGCGAAAAGATCCTATCTCATTAGTAGATAATTACCAATTTGCCGCTATCTGATTTAAGCTCTCACTTTAAGATATGGATGCCATCTTAATAAGTAACTTGTTATAAACAAGAAAAATATTCGTTCAACTTGTTAGAGAGAACCGATTTCTTTCTAACGAATTTAGATTAGATCGGACATTTTTGAGGTTTTTTAATGCTCGAAATATGATGATCTACTGATCTACCGAATCGACCAATGCGGTTCCCATCAGATCTCCTCAAATCACAAAATGTGAATCAGTCTGATTTTTGCTCATTTAGACGAATATGATGATAAGATAAAGCGGTTCAACGGTGAAAGATAGATCAAGCACAGAACGACAGATAACAAACCTGATTAAAAGCGTCAAATAAAGTTATTGTAATTCTTCTACTTTGAACTAATTAATCTTTGTTTAATCAGTTTTAATCTGAATTATAATTGATTGATGCTTTTGACAAACGAATATGTTTTAAAAAAAATTTCAGGTGTGTGAATGTGTCATATTATTTATGTTAAACAAAAACTTAAGTGAGAGAAAACTCATACTCATGACATTGGAGTTTTGCATGTTATGTTATGTTAAGTAAACAAATATTTCTTTTTTGTTTGTTGAAGAAAGAATCATAATTATATGACCGCTTTCGGCAAGAGATTTGAGCTGTTAACAAACACTTCACAGGTAAGAATGAAAATTGTGAGAAAAAGAGAAATATATTCGTTCTCTTCTTCCGCTTTTTTTTCCGAAAACATTTCCAAAGATTCCTTTTTGAATGAATAAGTTAAACTCGATGTTTGGACAAATGATTTATTCAACAACTCTGATGAACTTCAACATAATTAATAATATAAACAAATCATAAACGATGATTATGATTTAATTGAGAAAGTTATACAAAACGAATTATGCAGCACAGAGAGCTGACCTCTCTATACTTTGACATAAAACAGTAAAGTTGAATGTTTATTGTTCTACAAACACCGAGTGGAAAACTTATTTTTATCCTATTAAGGAAACCGGAAAGACAAATATATGATACTGTTTGTAATTTTGAAACTCTACAGAAAAAAACTACCATAGCAAGGTTCTTTTTTTTTCTTTCTTCTCTTCTATAGTTGGATGACAAATACTTTTTTTTTCATAAATCACGATAAGAATATCAGAAAATCGATGAAATTACACCACACCATCAGGTTATGTTTACTTTTAGTTTCTGATCAGCAAACAACGACATACACATATTTTAAAAGAGAAAAAAAAAGCAGTTCACCTTATGTATTTCATTGAGTGGATGAACAAATTTGTTAAAACTAATCTAGGATATAAAAATGGTCATAATAAAACTTGGTCGAAGATCAACACCATAGTGGCATTCATAACACTCAAACTATGACGTCTATAAATTGCAATTGATTAATATACCAGAACGTTATACAGTAGAATAATTAGAGTGTCAATTTCCATATCTTGTTTCACTGATCAAGAATTCTTTTTTTTTTTCAGATGTCAAATCAAAGCAATACATATACTAAATTAGGTGTCTACAATTGATAAAGCGACATGTTCATACTACAGAATACTATGACGTTAACTTGCATTACAATAAGAATATAACTCTACTCGTCGTAAAAACAGTGGCGACAAAAAAAATAATCATTACTCAAATTATGAGTTTTTAAATTTTTCAAATTTAATAAATTTATATAAAAGTCAAAAAAATAACTAAAGATATTTTTTATGAGCATTTCTAGTCCCAGACGATCAACAATCATATCGTTACCGAAATTTCTCTACGTCGTTTATCGTCATATATTAGAAAATGTTAATTTTCAGTTGATTACTCTTAAAATAGTGTTTTTATTGCGCATTTCTTGGTCTTGGTAAAACACTTAGAAGCATAGTATTATCTGTAATACGGATTATCGGATCTTTCCTTATCTTATTCTTATATACTACAACTACACTTCAATGTATATTCGAGATAGAGAAAAATTTTTTAAGTTTTTCAAAGGCAATTATATATACTAATAACAATTGAAAAATAAAATGTAACCAAAACGATCCGTTTATGGTGGCCGTTAACTATAACCAATTAATCTTTCATTTTTACACATACGTATAATGGGTATCGCAAAAAAAAGCGTTGAGCTTGGATAAATACAAATGCTAGTATAAAAGAAAGAAGAAAAGAATAAAGGAGAAAGGCTAATATCATAAAAACACAGTTATCATATACACACTCATTCGTTTTTACAATTATATATAGACTTCACACTGCTCACATTTGTTCATCGCATTATGCACAAGTATTGTTCAAGCTTGCCTTGGAAAAGATTTAAGAAGGAAGAAGTCTTTCAAAAGCATTGAGCAAGAAAAGAAAACCATTGTGATGTTTAAAGTGATTTAAAACGATTTTCTACTGACAACGATTATTCAATCTGTCTAATATACATGTTATTAACGGGCTCAGAAAATATAATTGTCAATGAACAACAGGAAAATATGGCTTGTTAACATTGATAAAATTAAAAATGGATAATTTGTACAGTCAACTGAACGTTCTTAGATCGTTAGTTAACGATTAATAAGCGAGTAGTTATGAACCATTTCGATTGAGATCGATTCTTCCAAGGATCTATATGCGCATCGCCTCTGAATCTCTAACAGAATTTAGAGAATGTTTTCAATGGTCATCATGGTCCTTATCAAGTCTTAACAGAATTAATGATATTATAACTTACTTCTTGTCTATTATTATTTTCCATATTAGAGAATAAGAACTATGTGGACATTTTTAATCTTTTTGTTTTGTTTTTTATAAATGACTATATATTGGATAAATGTAAAGCACACAATAAAAAATTCACTCTCTCTATTTTTTGTCTCTCAATCACTCACTCACTCACTTTCTTTTTAGTTTAATTTTTTCTTTTTTTATATTCGTTGTTTGATAAAGCTTTATATAAATTGTGCACAATTGAGTATATTACAATTTTTTGCTGAAAAAAAGCAGATGGGAGTTAGAATGTTTACTCCACATCGTCATTTAAATATTTTGATGTGCTTATAATCCCTTTATTTATTTTTCACGATGATGATCAAGTTTCGATTTTGACGATAAAAAAAAACTTTAAGAAAATGAGAGAGAAAGAGAAAGAGAGAGAAGGAGAGATATCCGCACACACGTCGATTTTTCAAGTTAAATCCATTGTTTATTTTTGGCAAAAGAAACAAACCTTTTTTAATGTGCACAAAACTTTTTTTCGTTTTTTTTTTTTTGTTTCTATTAAGGTACATAAAAATTACTCTCTTTGTCTTTTCTCTCTTATTAATTCACTTTCACTACGCATATTATGGTTTAACAAATTTGTGTATATAAAAATAAAAACTGACTGAAGTATTTAAAAAATGAGTGCATAAGAGAAAAATCGTATAACTCGCTTGTCAGAAAAGTGAAGTTATTTGAGAACTTGTCATCCGTTCCGCTATATGTATACACACTCGATAAAGAAAACCCTTCCTCTCTGTATACGATTTAGTATGATAAATAAAGCTAAAAAAATATAAGATAATTTACATTTTTTAAAACAAATTCTTTTTTTTTCATATATCGTATGTTTACATCAGCACACGTTTTATAATGGAGAAACCCTAGTAATGCCAGAAGGCCAATTGAATAGAAGGAAGAAGCAAGAGCGAACGTCGCCTATTCTATGTCAGGAAAACATTAAGTGATGACTATAATGATTGTCGTCATCTAATTATAGTCCTAATCGCGAAATAAAAAACAGAAAAATTCGATAAAGGAATCGGTAGTTTTTGAACATTTTCAAAGTCTACCCTTCATACAACATTGTACATCTCGAAGTAAATGAAATAGACAACATAATAATGAAGAAATAATTAAAAACTTTGATTTATTAATTAGAACGTTTGATAAAATCCCTCATCATTCTGCTAAAAAATAATAGTTATACGTTTTATTGAGAAAAAAACATAGGAACTCAATCACTTGAACGGAAATATCATACGAATATTGATTTTATAAGAGAAGCTATCTGAAATAAATGTTAATTGATAGAGCTTACTTTATTTTAAATTGATTTAAGATTCACTGTAACTTCAAGGAGTATGAGCTAAATTCTTTATTATAAATCCCGTTCTTCCGTTTACAGCTTATACTTCGAACAAACTTACACGTCTGCTAAAGAGTTTAATAATTATTCAGCTGGTATGAGAGGAAACATATTGAGCAAAACAGAAATCAGAAGATTTTGATCACATAAAATAAAATGGTTATGAACACCTTTTTTTCCGATAACTGTAGAGTATTTTAACTATAAAAAAGAGGATTTTTACCTGAGCAGAGCATGCCATGGTGGTATTGTTGACAGAAATCGTTGTTTTGTTTGCTTTCAATGACAAACACACATTAATAGTTGTTTCACAATCTGATTTAAAAGAATGGACTAAAATTGACAACGTTTATTATCATGATTAAATAAAACAGAATAAAATCGCGTTCTTTTCAAAAAAATAAAATAAAATGAAATTTGTATATCAAAAATGGGTACACATTATGCATACATACTCATTGATATACGTGTATATATACAAAGAATTAGAAATGATGAAATCAAACAATTTGTTTTCTTTTTTGTCTTTAAAAAAACAAGACACACAAAAAAACAAATTTAGAAATGTTAAACCACCTACCTTCTATATTAAAGTTCGCTCAAAAACACGGAGTAAATTTAAATAGGTTACGAATGAGATACATATACACAAAAAAAACAATTAATACAGATTTTTTTAGGGACACAGATAAAAATTTGAAATAGGCTGAAGTATTACATCGGAGAACTTAATGATTAATTCCAATGTTGACGCACACTATACAAGGAGACATTGTACAATAGATAATACGGTGATGCTTAGGCAGACAAAAAATTTATAATCAACCTATTGTTTCCGTAAATGACAATTTGTTTTAAAGTGTGTGTGTATGTGTGTGATAATCTTGCTAAGAACTCTTAGTTGCAGAGATCACTTCTTCGAAAATGATTAGAACAGTACAGCTCCGTATTTTAAACTTGTTTTTTTCGTAGATTTTCAAACTTTTTATCATCTCATATACCATAAACTGAGACGGATAGAACTGAACTTTGATGGTTCGATAATCTTACAGCACTATATGAAGAATGATATATTATATTCAATTAGAATGC